GGGACCTGGGACCTAGACGGGGAAAGCTGGGGCCTCTCGTAGTTTTGCCCTACGTGATCAGCTGATCCCATTCTTTTCCCTCCTTTCTTCTCTCAGGGGGTGAGGGGGGGGGCACCCATTCCCTTCCCCCGCAGACTGCGCCTCCAGGGGTTCCTGGGCGCCCACAGCTGTGGCATGATTTTCACCTCCAGTTCAGTCACCTGTATATCCCTGAACGCAGTTTCCCAGGACCTGGGAACGAATCGTAGATACTCTGAGAGCACAAGCCCCACCCTGACATCTGTACGTCTTGGGCCTCCTCTCCTGTGCCAGGTGCCAGGGACCCAGCCTGAACCAGACACTGATGCCCCGGGAAGCTCAGGTCGGGGGAATGGGCATGAAGGTGATAAACAAGAGAAGATCATCTTGAACAGTGTCAGGAGGGAATTACCAGCAGTATGGAGTAAGGGTTGACAGCTGGGGAGGCGTTCTCCTCTTGGGTGGTCAGGTAGGGCTTCTGGAGGGGGGGGGGGTGTGACCTAAATGACCTGGGGAAAGAAAGTTCTGGCAGTGGGAACCAAAGGGAAGCTAAAGCCCGAAGGGGCTCCGTGTGCCCCCCAAGCCAGGATGGCAGTGCAGTTGGAGAGGTTGGCTGGTAACAAGTACATGCAGACACTGGTTAAAAACATATTCGCAGGCTCTCGCTGGAGCTTTTTATTCTGTAAGTCTGGAGTAGAGGCTCAGGAATGTGTATTTTTAAATAAGCACCCAAGATGAATGTTATGAGCAAGTACCTTTGAAGAACACTACATAAGAACCCAGTACCACCAACCGCCCCCCCCCCACTTCCAAGGGTCTCAGACCAAATTGGCTGAAGTCAGAAAATAGACTCACAGAGGCAGACAAGGAGACAACAGTGGTCTTCAACCCTAACAGCATGTTAGAATCACCTGGAACACTTTTTCAATGCCTGTGCCTAGGCTTCAGTCCAACCCCCAGGGAACCAGAACATCCAAAGGTATTTTTTTTAAATGACTTCAGATGAATCCAAAGTGTAGCCAGTGTTGAGAATCTCTGGAGCAGAAGATAGGGTGGGAGAGGTTCTAGGATTCCCGGAGAACCACAACTTGACCTCACGTGGGGAATGACTCAAATCCTTCCCCATGTGCTAGGAAAAATGGAGAATGTGCATCCTTCATGGGGAGCCATCTCCGCTCCATTAAGGGATTTGTGCAAAGCTAGGGATCATCATTCATTCCACAAATATTTGCTGAGCACCTGCCAGGTACGTGACATTGCCACAGCTCTTGGAGATGCAGCCATCAACAGGACAGCGTCGCTACCCTCATCATGCTTTTATCCTGGAAGCAAAGAGACACAGCAATGAATAGGGTTTTCCAAATTGCACTTAGACCAGTGGTTCTTAACCCCAGCTACGCATTCGAGCCACCTGGAGAGCTGTTTAAACATTCAGTGGCAGAGCCCCACCAGAGACCAGTTATAATCAGAATGTTTGAACGTGGGGCCTGGGCATCAGGGTTTTGTAAAACCTCCCCAGATGCTTCCAGTGTGTGGCCAGGGATGAGAAACACCTGTTTAGCCTCTCCATTTCAAGGGACCCAAGCCTAGCCTCAGGACTTGCCAACTTTCAGAGACTTAGGAAGTACTTTCTGATTGTCAGAGCAGAAAATGATCCTCTTCTTTAATTCCTAATCATAAGCAGAGCGACATTGGGTGTAGCCAACAAGTATCTAAGGTTAGCTGATAAATGTAGATGGAGGAGGAGAGAGTGATGACCCAGACTGGGACATTTAGAGCCAAGTATCTAGAAGGAGATGGGTGCTTTTGGGTCCTTATGACAGGACCCAAAGTCCAGACCCTGAAATGTGGTCAGGGATAAACAAAGGAACCGGCCTGCCCTTATGCTGTAGAAAAAAAGAAGGGCTGGTGTCACCCTCCCCTGTCCTTTCTCATCCTCCACCCATAATGATTAAATGCCTCTAATCTAGTGGACATCTGTTGATTTTGCCTACCCGGAATCATTCCCTGCTTCTGATAACAGCATCCCAGGGTGTTCCATTGGGAAACTACTCTTGACCCAATTTTGGCAAAACTATCAACCCAGTCGTCCCACCCACCCCTGGCAAAGTGGATGCATGACGAGGCTTGACCAGAGAATTTTATCTCCTTTAGCCTATGAGACCTACTAAGGCAGTGGTCACGACTGCCTCATTCAGACACAGCTTTATGTCCAGTGGATGTGTGCATGGATAGAGGGATGAATGGAAGAGTGGGTGTTTGGATGGATGCATGCATGCATGCATGGATGGATGGATGGATGAAAGAGTGTATGTTTGGATGGATTAATCAATGGACGCATACATAGATCAATTGATCAATTGATGGAAGAACAGATAATAGTAGATGGATCAATCAATGGCTCAATGGAAAAGTGGATGTTTGGATGGAAGGATGGATGGACAGGTGGAAAAAAGTTTAACTCTCCTGTGTAAGTTCCTTAGATTTTAACAACCCCCATTCAGCGGGTAGTCTGCTTGTCCCTCTCCCTCTGCCCCTCCCCATGCTCACAAACACTCTCTCTAAAATAAATAAATTTAAAAAAAATAAAAAGACTCTAACTGCCTTAGTTTTTCCTCTGAACAGTGGATATATTTTAAAAGCTTCTAAGTTTTGGAATCTACACCCTAACAATCAAGAGTTCTTTGAAGGGAATAGGTTCAGACTAGGCCCTGACCCAAAACAGTTTCTGCTGGAGCAGTGGGAAGTGAGAGGCTTTTCTTCTCAGAGGGCCACCTTGAGGGTGGGGGTTTGGGTTGGGGGGAAGACATATTTTCAATTCCAAAATAAATAATTTGTGTTCTTAGGAGCAAGGACTAGGAGCAGAATGCATGACCTTTATGCATTCAGTGGCCATCCCGGGGGGCGGGGGGTGGGACGGAGGCCTTGACAGTGCAGCTCTGTCAACCTTCTCTCTGCCCTGCGGCTGACCTCCTTGCAGAGGCCCTGGCCTCTTCATTTTTCTCCAGCCTTTCCAACAAAAGTGCAAGGGAAGCCAGCAAAGCCCCTGAGAGCTTGAAACTTCTAGCATGCCTTGGTACTGTCTGGCCCTGTTCCAGGAATTCAGCTCACTTCAACAAGCATTTACCCTAATGTTTAATTGCAAACCGAGGTAAGCACCACGAAGAAAAGAAGAAGGTGCTACAGAGCTCGTAACAAGGAAACCTGATGCAGATATAGGGAGTTCAGGGAAGGCTTTCCTAGGAGCCGATGTTTCCACAGAGACCAGAAAGTCATCGAGAAGTTGGCCAGGAAATAGTGAGGGGAAGAACTAACAGCCAGATGGGGAAAGTATGTGCAAAGGCCCTGAGGCTGGAGGAAGTATGACATGTTGGCGGGACCGAAGGAAGACTGGAGTGGTAGGTGCTCAGGAACCTGAAGAAGGTGTAAGGGAAGGCTGGGAGGTAAGTGGGGCCCTGGAACCATGTGGAGATTTCTGGATGTAAGAGCAATGGGGAATACCTGAACAGTATCGGGCAGTGTGTGACAAGACCATATTCGAGTTTTTAAACAATCGCTTGGGTTCTGTGTGTTGAAGAAACTGGGGTACAAGGCTTGAAGTGGGATGATCAGTTAGGAAGCGCCTATAGCCATGGGGGCAAGGGGTACTGGGAGCGTGGCCTTCGGGGTGGTGGTAAAACCAGCAGCAGGACACAAAAGACACACACATGTACCCTTGTCCTTGGTCCACACTTGAGTTATCTCTTTTCCTCTTCTAGGCACAGTCTGATTCCACCTGAACACGAATGTCAGAGGAACACTGGTCCTGGGCTCTGAGCCCCGAGGCCCATTCAGGTGGGCCCTGCGGGTACCCTCTACCCACAGCTCTGCCCTCCCTTCTATCTTCCGGCAGAAAGCTCATCTTCATCTGCAGCCCGGACCTCTCCCCTTACATCCAGGGGCACGCATCCAGCTGCCAACCCAACCTTCCGCGCAGGGGTCCAACAGGCATCCCAAAGTGACCATGTCCGCACCAAGCCCTGGGACGCTCTGAAACCTCTCTTCTCCCACTAGTCCCAGCTCAACTCTCACCGCCCCCCCCCCCCATTCATCCAGTTCTCTGACCAAAATCCAAGGAATGGTCCGTGTTCCGTCTCGTTTTCTCACACACACAGGCAAACCCACAGCAAATCTGGGCATCTCTATCCTCAAAATGTTACGTAGACCCAACCGTTTCTCACCAGCCTCCCACCCCAACAAGCCACTTCCCCAGACAACTGCAGTCGCCTCCTCCCTGGTCTTGCTACTTCCACTTTGCCTTTACACAGAGTGGCCACAAGCAGCCTCTCAAAATATGGATCCCGTAAATCCTCCTGGGGCTTCCCATTAAGTTTAGAATTAAATACAAACACATCAGCCTGCAAAGCCCTGGATAAGCTGCCTCCAGCCCCAGCTCTCTTTGACTACCATCTGTCGCCATTT